GTCGATAATACTCCACCGTAGGAACTCGAACTTGAGGCTTCTCAGGATAGGAAGATTAGTTATGAGAGACTTGCCACCATAAGTTGTCCCTTAACAGATCAACAATGGGTTCGTACAAAACTTATTTGCTCTAAATCAAAGGGAGATTAATCCCACACAGTAATTACTCACGCGGTCAGTAATTACTGACTGCATTACTCAAATAGATATATTGGCGCCTTCTCACCTACAAGAATATCAAAGGTCTTTAAGGTCTCACTGTCGTCTCCATAAGCATAAATTTCTGAAAGAGGGAACACTTTTAAGATTCTCTTAGCTAGATTCCCGAAAAAGGAATAATGATTGAGTATAGTACTTTTAAAAAGAAGTGAAAATTTCATCAGGTAAATCATCTTTGAGATTTATAATTTAAATGTTAGAAAAGTTGTTTATGTACCCAAACATTTACATTTTTATATCTATAAATTAAAACATCATGCTCTCTAAGACATCCGAAACATTCATTACATCTATTAATATCACCTTTGGGTTACGTACCTCTCGAACTTTCATTGAGTGATATTTCCGGGCACGTCAAATGCAATGGTTTTAGTTCCGTTAGTATAGTGAATGTTTGAGGACAGACGGCAGTCGTGGTCTGCCGCTGAATGATGAGATCTAGTTCCGATCTACATGCCGACTTGCCGAATGTAGTTATCTCCCGCAAGAAGGGTAAATGGTCTCTCTACATTAGAGTATGGCATTTAAGTGTGTGTGTGTGTGTGTGAGAGAGAGAGAGAGAGAGAGAGAGAGAGAGAGAGAGAGAGAGAGAGAGAGGGTGACAGAGGGAGTGAATTAGACAAGGAAGATAAAGGAAAGATCGCATGTAGTGGCCCCATTGTTAGGGTACTGCTCCGGCATTCGCCTGGTGTTGATAGGAGAACCCACGGAAAGCTACGGATCACAGAATTCTCCTCCAGACAGCGACTGCCTTTGGCATATCTATTTAGAGTCGAGAACCCTCCACCGTCAGGACAGGAACCTAGGACCGCCCGGTCAAAGTCTTTGCAGAGACAGTGGGAACGCTGGCTCTGAGCTAACTCAACCGGCCTCTACCTTTGTGTTTGATTCTCTCACACTGATAGGAAAATTAGTTATTTTCCTCCTTGAATGAAAGATTGCAATAAAAATTGAAATTTAGTAATCTATTATGAAAGATATACGTCTTTCGCAATAGCATTTTAAAAAAAATTCACAAATATTTGTTTGCTAATATTAGTTTTTTCTGCTAGATTAAGTGATATGAACTATTCGGATCATCAAGTTCTACTTAACTTATTGCAACGAGACTGACAATGAACCAGTATTCTCTCCCTGTCCCAACACCTACAAAATCAAGTCATTTCTTTGGAGACATGTGTGAATTCGAAATTATGCTTTTGTATTATCAGGCTGATTTCATATATTTGCATAAACAGTTCAAAAAATTTTAAACTATTTGAATATATAATCGTTGAGGCAATTAGAATGCTTTCAAATATTAGGGCGTATTGGATATTTTATATTTTTCAGAATTCTGCAAAATGTGGCATGGGTCAGCAATGAAACTGTGGTTGTTACTTGGTTAAATCGCATTCAAAATAATGTTACTGTTTCTTCTTACAAGCCACCCCCAAGTGATACATCAGTTACCTGGGTTCACAACATTGTAAGTATATATAACCTGAACACAATAAGCTTTTAAAAATTATATGATTGTATTTAAAATAAACAAATTACTTAAACTAGGGCAAAAGTATTTTGTTACCAGAGAGTGAAATAATGGGATATTGCAAATATTTATCTTAGAACTTCTGTAATGTATGAATACAATGTAATTCTTCTAAATATTAGAATTATCAAAATAAATGACTTGATTGTGAGTGTGTATGTGTGTGTGTGTGGTTGGGGATATGTTATTTAAATATGGCTCTTAACAATTTTGGCATGTGTAGGAATTCACAGAAACTGAGACACAAGGTTGGTTGGATGTTGGCACTCCTCTAGGAAACGGTACATCTGCTTGGGTTGTGCTGTGGCCCTGCATTTTAAATGGTCAGCGATTCACGCTTCCTACAATCTTTAGAAGTTCAGGTACCGGCCAAGCTCAGGTCTTGAACCTCATAGATAAAATTTTCAACGTAACCGCCACCGCCCTGTATGGATGGGACGTTAAAAACCAGCGCATGTGAGTAGTACTGTGTGTGTCTAATATTGTAATTGTTAGATAATTAATGAATATTCGTATTTATTACAGTATCATTTATTGTTTTATACGTTTCACATTGTGAATGAAGAAGAGGTTCATTGCGTTCCTCCGTAGCACTCGTAGAACTTTGTCACCTGGAAATTTTATTTTACATGCTTCCCCACATGAGGTTGGAAGGTCTCATGAAATTACTGTTGGTAATAATAACAACAAGTACAATAAAACATTAAAAATCTTCTAAAACAATGTGGTAGTCAGATATCAATTTTTTATGTCCAAATTTTTAGAAAATGTAGCAAATTAAAAAATTAAATGTCCAAAACAAATATTTCAGAAACTGAAATATGGACCGGTATCTGATTCTTAAAAGAACATTTACAAAAAAATGCCACTTCTAATATACAAAAAGGAGACCTTCCATCCCAGTGTTTGTAAAGAGGTACCACAATGGAGACAAACAAAAATAATGATATCGAATAAATGGAAACACAGGGAAAAATATTTTGAAGTATTTTAGATCTGAAATGTTCGGAAAAAGCAATATACAAATTCAGAGCAAATTCACTTGCTTCTTTCGCGTCGTCACAACAGTTTGTTGTTAAATCATTCATCATTCGTTAATTGAATAGATGTGCTTCTACGTTCTTATCATTATTGAACGTGATTCTGTAGATTGAATACAGTAAATCGACTCTCTGTGTAATGCGCTAATGAAACACGACGGAAAAGTTAAAAGGAATTAATGAACATTTTTAAGAAACAAAAGACATAAACTGTCGTATGAACACTAATGAAGGACTGTGAATTGCTCCCACAAGTTGCATGAAACAGATTTAAGGCATAAATATTAACAACAGCAACAACATAAGTTAACAGAGTATGCTATAGGTCATTTTCTCGTCATTTTTTGGCAACCCCATATGATAAGATGTACGGCAGATCACGTTCAAGGAGTTTCCACGTACTAGCGCAACGGAATAAAGATTTGCCTAAAAATCAGAGGAAAATTAAACATTAGTAACTCTGATTATGATATTTACCACCAAATGTTCACTGGGAAAAACGGATCAATTTCGCTCCCTCCTTGGCCTCCTATGCCCTTGATATAACATTTATTTAAAATTATTTCTGATGCATCCTGTTTGTGTTATCTTATGCGCAGCCTCTTCCAGGCGACGCCCCCGGGTATTCCCGCGCAGCGCCACGTGTACTCCATCAACGACCTGACCCTGTTCCCTTGGGCGTGCATTTCCTGCAGCATGATTTGCTTGTCGTGCAGCCTAGTGCAGCCGTACGAGGGCGGCACGGCCTGCCTCTACGCGTCGGCCTCCTTCAGCACGGACTTCTCGCGCGCCGCCTTCACGTGCTCGGGCCCGGGCCCCGCCGCCGTGCGCCTGGCCACGGTGAGGCACCCCCCCCCCCCCGCAGGGAGCCCCTGGCGCCTGCTTCCAGTTCAAGCTTTCCCCGCAAAACATTAACGTTGTACACGGAAACAGTTATGTTCTCGATAAACTATTAACACATAATTAACTCATTGTCCCGTATCTGCCGTGCGCCTGGCACAGTGAGATGCAGATTAAACGGAATTCCGCCCTTTGGTCCCCCAAGAATCCCCATTCGCCTGTTTCAAGTTCAAGCTTTCTCCGCAACAGGCAGAAATTTGATCTACATTTACCTCCACATAAATGTTGTTCACGGAAATAGTTATGTTCACCATAAACTTAACAATACAGATTTAACTCGTCCCGTATCTGCCGCGCGTCTGGCTCAGTAGGTCGCAGATCAAACATAGTTCCACTGTTTGGTCCCAAATAGTATTCTATTCGCCGATTTCTCTTTTATGCTCACCCGGAAAACCTGTCAAGCAGTTGTGTATGTCGGTGCCGCATTTCGCCCTTCAGAGGGAGAAGATCGTCACCATAAACTATAAAACACACACTATATTTACTGGATTAATGCCATTAGCAGTGGAAGGCCAGAAAACTCATTAATCAACCTATCAATGAACATTACGGAAATCATTGCACCATTTTTTAAATCTGCTTACCAGCTGGAAATAATAAAATTAATCGGCATATTAAAGTATTGGTTCCCTTACTCGCAAAAATGTTTTAAATGTATAATACACCATTCATCTTCTCTAAATGCGTACAAACTACGTATGCAAATTTTTGTTAATTATCATACTCCAGCATAAGCGCATTGATAGTTGAGGGGCAAAGCATCTACAACATTACTTGATTTTCAATAATTCTTAGGAGCAACTCGCACCACACCGGGAGTTCCAGTTTACTTGGGTAGCGGGGAGACACTTAAGGTTTCACCATGGTAGACTCGATAGCCCAGCCTAGCCCAGCCTAGCCCAGCCTAGCTCAGCCTAGCCCAGCCTAGCCCAGCCCAGCCCAACCCAACCCAGCCCAGTGTCGCCTGGCCTGGCCTAGCCTCCCTTTCATATGCTTGTTACACATATTCCACCAGTGTTCGTATTATCATAAAAAATAAATTCAATGACTTTTGCCCCAACCGTCGTATATACTGATACTATTAATTCACACTTATGAGACTTAATTTTCATTTACTAATAACTTCTGCTCTTGGGTTTCCGCAGACGAACGTTTAACCAAAAACATATGCCATGAAAATAAAACCAAAAACATTTCATTTTGTGAAAACAAATCCGTCTGCCAGAGAGGAGTCACAAATCAAAGAGATTGAAAGGTGACCACCAACAAATGATATACAGCTGTGCTTGAATGTACTGTTTTTGTTATAGATACAGTCAGGTATAACAGCTGTCTGGGGAGATTACTTGGAAGAAAATAAAGAGCTTATCGAGAAGCTGAGCAAGCGAAAACTGCCGTCCGTGGAGGGCAACTTTACGCTTGAAGTCGCACCCGGGATCGTCGCGCAAGCTCGCTTGTGGCTGCCGCCGAACTTGGATAAATCGAAGAAATACCCAATGATCGTCTACGTGTAAGTATATCTACCATGGGAAGCTGGATTATTCTTGGGTAGAGTCGTAGTTCTACTTACATCCTTCGTCTCAAAAATCCTACCTACGACCCACCTTCGTCTCAAAAATTTATGCAAAAATACTAATGAAATATTTGTTAACGTATTCGAAATTTTGATGTATTAATTATTTAAGTGGAATTGGAAGACTTAAGATTCTTTTATTTGTATTTTTCACTTCAACTTGACGGTAATGGGGGAAAATTTTCAATTTGAGTCGGGAAATATTTTAAAATTAGTTTGGAGGCAGAATGTTGGGGTGGTGAGTTCGTTTCTCATTGTTATTAAATAAAATAGCAATTAAGGAGGACATATTTACAAAAGTATTGGGGAATCACATTTTAGGTAAGTTAACCTATAAAAAACAGGTTACGACCCAATTTGAGACATGACAATATACTTAGGCCCATGTTCCTGTGTTGTATTAATATATTAGTATTTGAGATTACACCTCGCCTCTCCTCCCTGTCGTCTCTTCCTTCACTCATCCTCTCTTCTGTCCCTTTACCTCATTTCTCATTTCTACTCCTCTCCCCCCTTCCCCTGCTCTCTTCCAATGTCTTCCCTTTCTCCTCTTCTCTTGATTCCTCACTTCTATCCTCCCTTCCCCATCTCTTGCTTTATTCCTCTCATCCCTCTCCTCCTCGTCTCTTCCCTTCCCTCCTCCCTCCCCAATTGTTTTGTTGTGTATAGGGTTGGCCAGTTTTCCAGCAGGTAGTGTTCTCACGCCTGAACCCACGTAACATATTTCATCATCATTATAATAACAACAACAACAACAATAATAATAATAATAATAATAATAATAATAATAACAATAATAATTACTAACGTACCCGGACCAGAACTCTCGCATGTAAACCCAGCCAGTTTTTGGATAGTTAGGGTTGCGCGCGCATACAGCTAGCGGTCATGGTGGAGGCAAAGTACTACGGAAAGCTGATGTCAACGCCGTCTGGAATTAACTCCCACACCCGTGAGGTCAACGTCGTTTTGCTTTCCTGAGGGCGTTGCAGAAGTACACTGAATTGTTTGTGATGTTACATTTTTAAGAACTGGTTAAGCATTTTAAAAATAATTCATGTTGTTGCTTAATATTTTCAGATCCAGATCTTTTTAGAACTAAATATCAGTCTCACATTTACTGCAAAATATTGCTTCACTTCTAGCCTTAGCAAAAATGTGTGTGTGGGCGGGATTAAATATGGATTTAGCAGAAAGAAAAGCCAAGAAGTATATTTTTTGTTTTGTATAAACGGAAGTTAAGGAGTCGCATCCTTGTGAAAACTGCAAAAACTTGTAGAGTGGGAGCTTAGATGAAGACATGACCAAAACGTTTATTGCTTTGACAATGCTGAAAATAGCTTCAGATTTATGTGTTATGCCAGTTTTAATAAATATCTGTCATGGGGTGATGAAATTTTACTCGTAATGACAGAATTTGGAAAACTAAATGCTGGTAAAAATATTGCTACTCATTCATTTCACAAACCCCCAGAAAACAGCAAGCTTTCATAAAATTTAATTTTTAATTAGTGTTTTCAAAAATAATTATTTCCCCTCTTAAACCGTCTTGTTCATGAATGTGCAATGTCTCAAATTAGCAGATTTGCGAGGTAAGCGATAAAAATAGACAAATTAATTTTGAATAAGAATAATACGAACGTTTAATGTCTAGTAGATATAGGTAGGGTGGACCATGATTAATGTCAGTTATGTCACAAACTTTCCACATAGACAAGAATGTCAATACTTTCTTTTTGTGTTGCGTAGAACTGTATCGTAAAACTGAAACATGGGGAACAAGTGATCCGTTTTCATCGTCGTTCCTTCTATAATTACAGTTATGCAGCATTTGTACATACGGCAAAACGGTAAATGAACGGTTGCACACACATAAAAACATCTTCATTTGGGTCAAGCAACTATTAATACTTGTAGATGTTGCTGCGAGCGAGAATCTTGAATTAATGATTATGCAAATGAATCTCGACAGCCGGCGCAAACCACGGTACACCCAGCAAATAAATGATGGAATCTAAGCCTTTTAAGCGTGACGTCACAAACAAAAATAGTCATAGTAGTAGGCCCAGTAGCGTAAGGAATTGAGGGCGAGCCCGTCTGCAAAACGTTCATCCGGGTCACATTTGTAAAAATGTATTGCCAACACACGTAGTGCTAGTAATAAAAGTATTGCTTAAAAATAGACCTTCTTGGGCCCGCCCGAATTGCGGGCCCGAACTTTACTAAGTAGGCCGTTTAGTATCGATAAACGTCAGTCAAGCAAAAATTTAATAGAATGTCTAATATATTATATTTCATTCTGTAGATTACGGTATGGAAAAATTTTCTTTGAGGCCTTTGAAATTTATCTGACACGGTTAATACGCACATTTTCAGCAATTTGTAAACACTATTGCATTCGTAAGTTAAAGTAATGACTTCTAATGAAGTTTTTCCAAAACTCAAAAATGTTCTCTGAGCTTTAAATTTCACATTTACAGTAACGATTAAACTCCATTTTCTTAAAAAGGATCTGAAGTTTACAATGAAATTTTCTATTTAGAACGAGATTTTACTCTTCTTTAAGATTATTAAAGCAATATTTCGGTTCTACTGTTTAAAAACCGAAAAATTGAGAAAGCTAAAAAAAATACATTTTGGTCAGCGATAGATGGCAGATAGCAAGAAGATCAAGCAAGAGTGTAAAGCCGGTCCATTCCAAGGAAATTAGACAACTTTATTACGAGAAAGCCTGTGCTATTGTGTCGCACAACTTGTTTAGACTTTTATTTCACACTTTACGTTTAGGAATAAGATATTTCATTCCATATTTGCAGTTTGTGTACGTGAAAAGCGTACAATGTATAATAGTAACCGTAATAATATATTTTGCATGTAAACAATATAAGTTTTTACAACAGTTCGTATTGATGATCTTTTTTTACTTAACATTACACATAAACAAAGGGTAATGGAGACGTTATATTTGACTTCTGAAAGCTCTTTAACGACTGAGGTCACGAGACCATATTTACGTTATACTCCTCAGCAATGCGGGAGGAGCCAGAAGCTCAGCGATTACTTGTTTTCATAGATTGGTTTCACAGGCTAACAAATTCACAGGTATTGCAAGTAATTAAGGCACACAACACACGCTAATGTCGTATTGGTACACGCTCGACAGATGAACTAATAGAACATATATCTAAATGTATTCAAGGATTGTATATGTATACTCTTTGACAAAAGAAGCTGAGTAACGTTAAAAAAATTACGGTTGAATTTCGACCACTGGCGACCGTTATTTTGGAAAACACTATCTGTTGCACAATTCCAAAATTTTGGAGAAAATATCTTGTTTCGTAGGCTCTGAATCATTTGATCTCTTTTAATTTGACATTTCTGAATTGTGGCAGGTACGGTGGTCCTGGATCGCAGCAAGTGTCTGAATCCTTCTCCGTGAACTGGGGCAGCTACCTCACAACCAACAAGAGCTACATCTACGCGTCCATCGACGGCCGCGGCTCGGGCTTCCAAGGCTCCAACACGCTGTACGCGCTCTACAAGCAGCTGGGAACCGTGGAAGTGCAAGACCAGATCGGCGTGACGCAGGCGCTGGTGAAGGCGTTCCCGTACATCGACGCGACGCGCGTGGGCATATGGGGGTGGAGCTACGGGGGCTACGCCACCGCCATGGCCATGGCGAGGGACACCGACGGCACGTTCCGCTGCGGGGCGTCCGTCGCGCCCGTCACGTCCTGGGACCTCTACGGTAGGGACTGCAATCGCGGACACAGAAAATGAATCACTAATTAAGTATATAAATAAATTAATAAATTATTAATAAATAAATAAATTAAAACTTTCACTATTAACAGTCGCGTAACAATGCCATTTCAGTAGGCAGAGAATATATATGTATTTATCGGCAGATTCCATGGTAAATTGAAAAAATAGTGGTACTACATGATAGCACGCACTTTCTTGTACTAGTCCGATTTCTAATTTTTAAGTGTGTTTTGTAGGTCATCTGTTTTGTCCCATCTTTCCAGCCGGCATCTGTTCTCGTCCAAACTACATTTATTTATATTTTATCAATTTTTTCTGGTAAAAGTGAAATACGACTTTAAAAATATAATAAAAGAGTAAAATCTCGTCGTAGGTCGCGGTTTCAAGTCCCGCTTTGGGCATGGTTGTTTGTCCCTTGTCTCTCGTGTGTGTGTTGTCGCGGAGGACCTCGCGTTCTGCTGATCCCAGACCGGAGGAGCCCGCAAGTATATTAGAGCAGAGTGTATGGTCGAATATGCGTCCCATCGGGAAGTAAAAAGGGAAACCGGAAGTCGTCTGGATAAACGTCTAAGGAAAAAACAAAGGGGCCTCGGCGCCTGAAAGTAGGTCGCTGTGCATTGTCGTCGGTCGCTGTCGATTGCTGTCGGTTGCTATCGGTTTCTGTCGGTTTCTGTCGGTTTCTGTCGGTTGCTGTCGGTTGCTGTCGGTTGCTATCGGTTTCTGTCGGTTTCTGTCAGTTGCTGTCGGTTGCTGTTGGTTCCTGTCGGTTGCTGACGGTTGCCATCGGTTGCCGTCGGTTGCCGTCGGTTGCCGTCAGTCGCTGTCAGTTGCCGTCCTTCGCTACCGGTTGCCGTCGGTGCCGTCGGTCGCCGTCGGTCGCCGTCGGTCGCCGTCGGTCGCCGTCGGATGCCGTCGGCCGTTGACGATTGCAATCAGTCGCTATTGGTTGCTGTCGGTCTCTGTCAGCTGCCATTGGTCACGTGGCACTCGGCGTACGGCGTAGCGCGATATCACCTGCTTTTTGCTCAGTCAATGGATTCTCGAAAACCCTAAAGCCCTCTGAAATCGTAAAAATTAACTTTTCAACTTCATGTTCACATTAAACGCGCTCCAAGTGTTTGCCAACAACCATGTTTTTGTCATTTATTCCTACATCAAATGCAATGTACTCGGACGGAAGAACACACGCCACGTAATTACAATACGGCATTTGAGGCGCTCAGAAGCCAAACTGACTAACACAATTTTTTTAAAAATTGTGAATAATATCTTTGTTGTGTTCTGCAAGGAAACATTTATCATTGGTCAAGACAACAACTCGACATTTACATGGTTTGCCGCTGGAATGAGAAACTGCATTGCAAATGAACATTTTATCAGTTGTTTCGGTGGCCGGTGTGGTTTACTCCATGACAACCGATGTTTAAACGAACTGTTTGAACTGAACTCTTTCATAATTTTCCTTTATTGAAAAAAGAGCCAAAAATAGTAGCCACATTTTTTCTTTAAACGATTGGTATGACATAACTCTTGGATCCCGGAAAACAAACAACTGTTTCCTAACGAATGAACCATGAAGATTTCCATTCGACAGAAAACTTAGCAAAATGTACCATCAACAGGAAAAGAAGTGTGGAACGTGAACCAGTTAACTGGCTGAAAATGACGTGGATCCGGATTCAGAAGGCTGAACCATTTGTTACAAAATATGAACCAACATTCTTACCAGAAATGTCATTTGGAAACATTAATATCGAAACAAAACATCGAAACAGACGTCCTTTAGAAAGTCTAGCTAATCTCTCACAAGATCTTCTTTATAGCACATCAAGACCGATCATGGCAACAATAAAGGATGTCATAGGCCTCTTGAAGTGTGTAACTCCTATTCATCACCACTAATATAAAAAAAATGAGCATGCAAGTGGTATCCTTCACTACTAATCTGTCAGTGATGCCGACTGCATCACTTACGCAGAATAGAAGCATGAACACATTTTATTTGTATTTCGTGCAATTTCGTTTTTTATTTTAAGTATTGTTTACTTACTATAACACTGGTAATTTTTTTAGTAAAAGTGTTTTATTTGGGCATATTAGTTTAATAAAATAACTTGCTTAGAAACTATTCAGAACATGTCAACGCAAATCGAAATTTGTCAATATCTTTCAGTTTACAATGGAATACCCGCATTTTCTGAAACCAGTTTTCTCAAAAACGGCTCCAAAAATATTTCTTTATATTTTTTATCCGATAGTGCTAAGTGGTATAAAAGCAAAACAGAAAAGCAGCTTTGATATATTATTTTACTTTTTCAAAAATGTCACAAATGCATTTATATTAAAAAATCTCACGCTGTTAATATTTACTTTATTAGTAATTTGTATACATTATTACATTTGCGAGTAGAAGTGCTTCAATTTATGTTCAAAGACATTTCTCGAACACCCAAAAGTTCTCTGTGAAAACGAGCTTCAAATTTCGGTTTAGCGTCACGCTTAAGCGTCATTTTCTGAAAAACTACCCAAAATGTTTTAAGGAAAATTTTCATTTAGGTTTCTTCTATTGTGTTCTGAATTTTATATTTCAGCTCTACCAATAAGCAATAAAAAATTGAGAAAATATGAAGAAATGTATTTTGGGCGGAATAGATAGTAACTGGAAAGAGGTGGAGCAAAATTAAATAGTGTTAAATGTATTGAATAACATGACATAGAGTCCACTGTCCCGTATTCTTTTGTTCGTTTGGTTTTCAACAATTACAGAAATATTTTTTAAATATTTTTCTCATCGCTAATATAAAGTGATTTTTATACATTTTATATTTGTGAAAACAATATGGCTTCAAACAATTTCTTATGAATTTTCTCTAAAACGGAAAAGTTTTGGGTGAAAATGAATTTCAAAATGCTCATTTCCAAAGACATCAAACTACATTTTCTTAAAGACTGCTCCAAATTTTTCATTTTCATTTTTTATTTACAGATAATGTGATATTTAAAGTGTAAGAAAGGCAGAAATTGTAACATTATATTACATATTGCGAGAAAGTATGTGATGTAACGCCTCTACTTCGATTAAACATAATCTATTTACTTCCATGATTTATTCGACTGAAATAGTAATTTTCATTAATAATACTTTAAAATTATCATCAAAAAACTTTTTTTCATTAGTAAAATACATTCTCTTTTCTTGGTTTTGTCATCTTACTGTAAAATGGAGTTTTTGAAGTATTTTTTGATGTACTATTTGTATCTTCAATTTTAAATTTGTTAATGTATGAATAATGCTAGTTTTAAATAAAAGGCAAACTTTGATGAGTAAATGTTTTTATTCTGTTTTGACTCTACTGAAAGCTCTCATCCATTTAATCCGTACCTGATATTTATCTTCTTTACAGATTCCATTTACACCGAGCGCTACATGGACTTGCCAAGTAGAAACGAAGCCGGTTACAAGGCCGCCAACGTTTCGAACAAGATTGCCAACTTCGAGAAGCACGAGTTTTACTTGCTGCACGGGAACGCGGACGACAACGTCCATTACCAGCAAGCCATGCGCCTGGCGCGCGCTCTGGAAGAGAACAACATTTTCTTTCTGGCGCAGGTGAGAGAGATTCAGCTCCCGAGCGCTATCACGATCCACGCAAAACAATGTTAGCGTTGTGTATGTTAGGCTAATTTGTAGTACAACGCATTATTGTGTAAAACTACGTAAAAATATTGTGTAAAAACACATTGTTGTAATATTTTTTATATGAATCACAGGATTACTCAATTTCTGAAACTGAAAGGATGTTTACGTACTTTTTTATATATCAGGTACACTTTTTTGAACAGCGTGCACTATACCGATGCTTGGTTGTTTTTTTCAGAGTTACCCTGACGAGAACCACAGTATCCGCTCGGTGGTGCAGCACGTGTACATGTCAATGACTGTCTTCTTCGACGAGTGCTTGGCCCCGTTTAACTCCGCCCCTACGAAGGTTCTGCTGCCTGCTCTCCTGCTCTTTCCCCTTCTAGCTCGTTTGCTGGCGTAGTTCCCCGTCACTCTCGTGATATATGTTAACGCCTCAATCATCAGAGATCTTTATACACGTTTACTAAGTAGCGTAACGAATTGAGGGCGGACTTGCCCGCAAAACTTTTCCCATCCCCCTTTACAAAAGTGCAAACACGAGTAATGTAAATTTGTTAATAATAAAAATATCCTTTAACAAATTCAAGTTTATCAATTTATGATAAATAACCTATACTATACCTGCATTTGTTATTTAATTTTATGAAATTAAAACTGTAATAAAATCTAAGTAAAGAACTTACGTATGATACCCTAAGTATCAAGTAATTCATATTTCTTACAATTGCAAAACTGTCAGCCTAAAAGTAGGTCCTCTTTTTTTGGGCCCGCCTGCCTTGCGGGCCTTGTAGTCCTTAACGTTACGTCATTGAGTTTAATTATAGACCTGTACACTTGGTATAAGCTACTTCGTAGTTATCATCAATCGCAACTAAGTGCAATCACGTACTAAGCAGTGATAATCAAGAAGCAGCGATCCAATCTGTATACTCGTACTTAAAATACAGATAACTGCTTCTAGTCACAAAAATGACATTGTGATAACCCTCATCCTTTTCTTTTAAAAGTACATATAAAAAATAATATATACAATTAATGAGATCAAATTCATAGAATATTTAAATTTCTAAATAGCGAAAAAAATGAGTGCTTGGATTACAAAAAATAAATATTCATTTCAATAATAGTGTAAAGTAATATTATTACAGTATTTTTCATTTGTATTCATTAAGCATCTAATAGGTATTGCATTCAATTATACACATAGTAGTTTTATAGTTGCCCTGATGAGAACCACGATATTCATTCGGTGATGTAACATGTGTTCATGTCAATGCTGTCATTTGACGGAGTATGTCTCCCTCTATGTCTTCCATCAAATACTTAAGAAATCCTGCCAATAGCATGACTGTGATGTCTTTTATTGATTGTTCTATTTGATCTTCTACTTTGCATGTTCTTGTAGAATATTATTCTCTCTCTATCTCTCTCTCATAAATTTTATTTTACGTACCTTTTTTATTGCTGCTATTTCTTTATACCTCGACTCCAAGTTGATTTATATTACACCTTTTTAGTACCTGTAATTAAAAGTTTTTATTTAATTTTTTAATAATTGTTTTGTTACTGTGAATAAAGAAAATTGATAACAACATTATTAAGTAATTATTTTTATCTTTATTAAACCATGAAAAAATGATTGTGTACATAAATGTTAATGCGATTGTATGAGTTTAAATTCTCAGGGCATCGAAATTATATGTGCGGGGAGTCATACTATTCATTCACATGACCTTGAATAAAATGGAGGTTACGTTAAAAATCACGGGGCGAAATCAAACTCCTGTTTTAATAATTCATTACAAAAATAATGCAACACTAATGTTTCCTTTTTTTACATATCTACCTTCCATCTATCAGTAACTAGTGGACACGGTTATGCTTCACTATTGCAATGTGTTACACTTGCACACCACGCTACAGGTCACGTGATTTTTAATCGTATTTTACGCTGTGTAAGAACGTTTAATAGATGAAAGACTTCGCAAGTATGGGTGTGTTATGTCCTGGTTTAGACATGGTTGTCCTGGCAAAATCCTTTTGTTAAAACGTTCTCCCTCAAGCTTGGGCATGCATTCGCTATGACATTGTGTTGGAGAAATTTGATTTACTTTTCCGAGATAACGCTCAAGAAATAATTTTGGCCGATACTTCCCAACCGCAGGCGCAGAATATGCAGAGAAGACGCGCTCAATATTTGAGGGTGTGGTGAGTTTCAGAGAACTTCTGTTCAGGAGCGTTTGGGTCATCAAAAACGCATAAAATCATCATCAACAACGTCCCCCTTTTTTGACAGATATATCGCATATTCCCATTGAACTATGGCTATATTATTTACGCAAGTATGAGCAATGAAATGGCAAAGTTTTATCGCAATATAATAAACGGTTTGGTAGCGCATAAAATACGAACAGACAAAGAAACATTGATTTTTACTTTCCCGTACATAATTTTAGGAAATTAAAATTGTTATAAAATCTAAATGAAAAAATATACGTATCATATCCTAAGTATCTAGTAATCATATCCATCATATTCTTGTAATACTACGTATATACAACATATTACAAATATTTATGACTAAAATTCAATATGATTTAATTAATTTATAGTACCTGTTCCATTTTTTCTATGAAATATTGGTTAATTTTTAAATCATATATTTTGATGCAAAAAGTAACATAAATTCATCACGGTTATTTTGTAGTTATGCATATTTATTATTCTACGGTTGTTCTACCTTTAATTCTTAAAATTACGTTAAGTCTTTATTTAATACTAGAAAATATGAATGAAATAAGATACCTTTAAACAGATTATCAAAATTACATGTATTTAAATATGTACAATTTCTAAAAATTATTGTAGAATAATTTATTATTTACAGCGTAAATAATTATTTATATATAATTTATTAAATTTGCCGCTTACTGCTAACTCGTTCTCCTTTGACCACACTGAAAAAAACACCAAATAGAGTTGGAATTTTGCTGATCAAGCAACACTGATTAAAGACATTTAGTCAGTGTGAGGTAAAGACGTTTATACTAGACATATTATGATTTCTAAAAACCAATACCAGGAAAAATAGATTGAATAAACCTTCTTGATGTATGCATTGGATGCAACTTTTTTAAATTCTACAAAAAATGATATAAACGCACCCAAGGACTGACAAAGGGCTTAAACATTTCCCCTATTTTTGCTGAAATATGTTTATGGATAATTTTGAAAATTCACTATTTAATACCCTCAATTCCCTTCTTAAGAACATAGTCAATTATTACAGATATAAAGATGACATTATTTGTCTTTGGAATGGTACCCTCAGGAAACTTGATAATTTTTTAGATTATTTAAACAAGTTACATTCAAAAATTAAATTTAAAATGGAACTTGAATAGAATAAAACTTTAAACTTCCTGGATTTATCTATTACTATTTGAAAAAATAAGTACAAGTTTAAAGTGTTTAGAAAATCTACACAAACTGACTTAATCATTCCAAATAGTTCAAATCATATTCATCACCATAAATTAGCTGTTTTCCACTTTAGAGACCAACGCTTTTTAAAAGTATCCTGTAGACCGCCTTTCCCCACCCCCGCTTCACTGGAGGACAATGCACAAAATGGCAGCGTATGAGAAACACAGCATGAATACTGTGGACCATGTTACTTGAGTAAATGTATTTTGTTAGTTTTTTAATCGTTTTTGTATTCTCGAGGTACTATGAAGAATTATTTTCAGTAATTGTAATTCAATCTTAATCATATGACTTCTGAAAATCTAAACATCGCTCATTTTGACTTATCACAAGTCGTGGAGCAGGAGATATTATCAACCTGTTTATAAATTAATTTGCGACTATTTAAAAATATTGCTAAACAAATTATAGAATAGCTATAAAAAATTTCACTTGACGAAGCAGAGGCTCTTTAGATATAATTTGAGTTCACAATTTTTGCCGTCCCTAAATTTTTGTCGCCGTAGGCACGTGCCTCCTGTGTCTATGCGTAAATCCACCCCTGGGTCTCAGTGTTCTCAGAAATCGCACTACGTCGCGACGTAGCCGGCACCGCCGCGGCGCGCCGGTCCAAATGGTCGAGATCGTTAAGGCTAAATGCACCGAAAAATACTTGTAGGAAAATTCAATAGATCGCAGCACTATCACGGGGGAATTTACTTTACTGATAACGTCTGAATCAATGGTCCGATTTTCGATCTGTAAACGGCATTTGACGCTTTTTTAAAATAGAATTCACGCTACGATGCCCTTTTTCCAAAAATCTAGCAAAAATTTAAATTTGAAATTAGTTCAAGTCCCGCCTGCTCCGCCGGGGCTGGCCGCACGCCGCCTGGCCTGGCCTGGCCGTGCCGTCGCGCCGACGGAGGGCCCACAATAATCGGTGTGACGCAACGGCGCAGAAGGGGAGGGGGGGGCGAGGCGTTTTCGTAAATTTCACTTTACGACGCTTCTATTCATTCGATTTGCATGATTGCCACGGCGTTGGATTCAGCAAGCATGTCGCCATCGCGCTATAAGCCCACATTTTTTAATTTTTTCTCGGAAGTTCGAGAACTAATTTCAAATTTAAATTTTTGCTAGATTTTTGGAAAAAGGGCATCGTAGCGTGAATTTTATTTTAAAAAAGCGTCAAATGCCATTTACAGATCGAAAATCGGACCATTGGTTCAGACGTTATCGGTAAAGTAAATTTTACTTATTTTGGTGCTGCGACGTGGTGGCCACAAATTGTACTAGTGTCGGTACATTTAGCCTTAAGACAGTGGTGCCGTAGCGATCTCGGACCGAAGGATCGCGGATTCGAGCCTCGCCTCGGGCATGTGTTTGTCCTTGCCCCCATCATCCCCGAATCATGTCTTTTTCACAGTTTTCATACCGTAACATGCAACAGTGGTCGCTAATGAACTAGATGTTAATGCGATCTCGAATATTTTTTTTAAATCGCACTACGGGCGTTCAGCTCTCCCATACGGACAATCTCCAAATACCCACTACGGGAGAACGGAGTTCGTCCTTAGGTCTTCGGGGTTGTCCTCCACTTTCGGTCCTATTTTTGTACTATTTTATATCATTTCCTCATTTACTTGTTTTTAAATATCCACATTGCACAATTTGCTGATGATAGAGGCTTCTTTCGGTCCTTCACTTACTAGTTGCAGCAACAAAGTTCAATTGCATCTCCACCTAATTGTCAGCTGGGCTTCAAAATACAAATTTCAACCCAATCCAACGAAACCAGTTGCCAAGATCTTCACACTCCGGACACACTCACCCTCGCCACCGCTAATACTAAACAATGCAATCATCAACAGACTCCCTTTCAATAAACCAATGAAATACTTAGGGCTGATCATGAACACAAAAACTCAA